GAACAGAAATTTTGTATCGTTATCAAACGCGCATTTTTGTTCATAAACTCATCCATGGAATAGAAATAGAAAAATCAATTTCTGACTAAAAATTGATTTCTAAAATAGAATGGTTGTCATTTGCGCCCTTACTTTCCACCTTTTGCTTATATACAAACTGTGCAACGTACATACTTTAACTTTTATTTAGCAGGAAGACACCCAAAAAATTCCAAAATATTCATATATCAAATTGAAAAATTATATATGATTTCTTTTTCAAAAATTTTCCAAATTCCAAGTCCCTCTCACTTTTACATTTTGGTGGAAAAGTCATCTTTCAAAACACCCCCATGAACGACATTTTGGTTTTGCGGTAAAAATTTTCCTCATTTTTCGATATTTGGTTCACTTATGAACATAAACCAGTGAAAAATACTTTCCTAGTCAACGGAAAATGTTTTCCTACTGAAACTTAAATTCAGGAAAATGATTTCCTTTTTTAAAAAAATGAAAATCATTTTCCAAAAATATGACTAAGTATCGACGCTTAAACCAGAAACTCTATGCTTGGGCATAGGACTTGTTCTTGGGCCCTTGGCAACAGGGCCGAGTCCTCGGCACCAGGGCTCGAGTCCATCTAGGCAGCGGTCGAGACCCCGTCCCCTGCGCCCAGGTCCATTGAGGCTAGGCCCAAGACACAGGTGCCCATGCTGGGGACGTTAGGCCTGGTAATATCAAGGCTGAACCTAGGTCCTCAACACTTGTGCCCAGGTCCATTGAGGCCAAAAATTTTTAAGAAATTTTCGAATTTTTTAAATATCTTTTATTTTATTTTATTTTCTTTCTTTTTCTTTCGTTCTTCCTCCGTTGATCGCCCACAGGCATGGGCTGGCCTTGGGCGATGATTGAACCTCACCAAATCCCGATGAGGCAAACTTGAGCTCGCTTAGGGCCGGCGAGGTCAACCCTTGCCTATGGCCTGTCACCGACCGGCGAGGGAGGAACGTTGAGACAGAATTTGTTGTATATTTCCAATAAGCTTAGTTGGGTATTTATATACCCAAGAGTACATTCTAGAAGATTTAATAGCAAGAAAAGAAATACATGAAATAGAAAACTTTCTAACTTCTAAAGATAAGATTTTAAATCTTCCAAAACTGATAGTCCTATTTTTGGTAGATATATATTTGGTTGATACACCCCCTCAAGTGTAAGAGTCGAGACCGCGAATCTTCAACTTGTCTCATAAAAATGCAAAACGTGCTTTAGGAAGAGCTTTTGTGAGAGCATCAGCTAGTTGGTCAGCTGTGGAGATAAACTGCACACTGAGTTGTCGTTTGGCGATGCGATCATGAACAAAGTGGAAATCAATTTCAACATGTTTCGTACGAGCATAGAAAACCGGATTTGCGGACAGACAAGTGGCACCAATATTATCGCACCAAAGAATGGGAAGACCTTGAAGAGGGAACCCAAGCTCTTGAAAGAGTGACTCAAGCCAAATGAGTTCATCTACAACATCGGTAAGAGCTTTATACTCAAACTCTGTGGAAGAGCGCACTACGGTTCATTGTTTTCTGGAGCTCCAAGAGATCAAATTAGGACCAAGAAAAATAGCATACCCTCCAGTTGACTTCCTGTCGTCAGAGCTACCAACCCAATTCACATCGGAAAAAGCTTGCAAGCGATTATCATTGGATCAGGAAAGAAGCAAACCAAACGACCTTGTATGTTTGAGAGAGCACAATATGCGTTTCACCATTTGCTAGTGGTCTTCAATAGGTGCATGCATAAATTGACAAACTTTATTAACGGTAAAGGAGAGATCTGGTCTTGTCAATGTCACATATTGTAGGACACCAACTATAGACCGATACAGAGTGGGATCGGACATCAGAGCACCCCCTTTCTCACATGGTTTTGTAGTCGTGGCCATAGGAGTTTTGAACAGGCTTGCATTCATACATCCCACCCTTGTGAAGAAGATCATCAATATAACGTCCTTGAGAGAGAAGCAACCCGTTAGAGTGAGGCACAGCCTCTATCCCAAGGAAGAAGTGGAGCTGGCCGAGATCCTTAATGGAGAACTCTGCAGATAATTTCTCTAAGATTGTACCGATAGTAAAAGATGCATTACCTGCAACCAGAATATCATCAACATAGATCAAAAAATAAATGACATCAGTGCCTCTTCGATAGATAAGTAATGAGGGATCTATTTGTGATGCTGAGAATCCCAAATAAAGCAAAAATCGTGAGAGTCGTTGAAACCAGGCTCCCGGAGCCTGCTTGAGACCATTTAGAGAACGATGCAACTTACAAACATAATTACGACGAGTTGGGTCTTGAAACCCAGGGGATTGTTCTATGTACACCTCTTCAGAAAGAACCCCATGTAAGAAAGCGTTGTACACATCCAATTGTCGCGTTTGCTACCCTTGAGAGACAGCTAAAGATAATATTGAGCGAACAGTGATAATTTTCACAACTGGACTAAAGGTTTCCGTATAATCCAAGCCATGTTGCTGATGAAAGCCTTAGAGACCAGGTGAGCTTTGTAGCGCTCAAAAGTGCCATCTGCTTTGTACTTAACCCTAGAAACCTACTTACACCAAACGTGGTTCATGGAGGAAGTGCGAGGGACCAAAGACCACGTGCCATTTTTCAACAAGGCATTAAATTCATCGGTCATAGCTGCACGCCACTCAGGGATTTTGTTGGCTTGGATGAATGAGATTGGTTCGGTGAGAGGGGTGGTGGTAGTATTAATTTGAGGAGGACAAGAGCGAAGTTGCATGGTGTAGATGCATGTTGGCCTAGGTGGGGGCAGCGGCGACAGTGGTAAAGAGGATGATGAGGAAGGGGAATGATAAAGTTCATGGAAGGGCCTAGTTGTTAAGGCAGGGGAGATGAATGAATCGATATTAGACGACATTGTGGGAGCCGGTGTAGGAGTCTGTGATCTCACTATATTGGTAGGTGGAGGAATGCCAATAGGGGTCGAAGCCCATGGTACTAGGACAGGAGTAGGGAGTGATGACTTGGGTGAGGGACCAAGAATGGAAGGAGTTGCAAACGGAAAACAATTTTTATCAAAACGAACATGTTGAACAATGTATAAATGATTAGTGACAGGGTCAAGGCAGCGATACCCTCTGTGAGAGGAACTGTTTCCCAAAAAAATACAAGGAACGGAGCGGAAATCATCTTATGGGCATTGTAAGGACGTAGATATGGGAAACAACAACACCTAAAGATTTTTAAGAAGGAATAATTCGGAGGGTGATTATAAACCATTTGAAATGGGGAGATGCGATTAGTAACCTTGGATGGCATCTGATTGATGAGGTAGACCGCCGTTTCAAATGCTTAGTGCCAGTATTGGTGAGGGACAGAGCCATGAGCTAATAATGTTAAACCGGTTTCAACTATATGCCTATGACGACACTCAACCGCCCCTTGCTGTTCATGAGTATGAGGGGCGGAGATGCGATGAGCAATACCAATTTTTGAGAAAAAGGAGGGGAGGGTACGAAATTCCCCACCCCAGTCCATTTGAACGGTTTTTATTTTTCATGAAAATTGACGCTCAACAAGAGCTTGGAACGTACGAAAAACAGAGCAAACATCTGACTTTACTTTAGGAAGATAAAACCAAATAAATTTGATGCAATCATCAACAAAAATAACGAAATAGCAATGACCATAAGTTGAAACAAAATAAGGACCCCAAACATCACTATAAATTAAATCCAACGGAAATAAATTACGAGTTGGAGACAATCCTAAGGACTGACGACTAGCCTTGCCCAATTGACAAGCTATACATAACTGACTCAACCGTGTTGACTGACACGACAAATTATTCTCTTTGATCATAAACCGTAAGAGACGTTCATGGGAATGGCCAAGACGTTGATGCCAGCCATCCATGGAAATCCGTTCCGTAGTACTGGCAGTAGGCATTAAAGGTTGTTGCGGTATGGTCCCACTACTCGGGCCGGAAAGAAAAACCGCCTTGGTCACTAGATCCTTAGCAAGAAAGTGGGTAGAATAAAATTCAAAAAAGACATTATTGTCAGACGCAAATTTTTGAACCGAAAGTAAACGCTTAGAAATATCAGGGACATGAAGAACATCATTTAAACGTAAAGAAAGATTTGAAATAGATAAGGGAATAGAAGAAGTACCAATATTAGTGATTTTAAGACCCTTATCATTGCCCACATGTAGTTGATCCAAATGGAGGAAGTGTAGAAGATGGGTTTGTAATGTCAGTTATGGTGGTGGTGGTGGGGGATTTTCTAGGGCCATATTGACCACCCGAAAAAGAAGAAGAAGAAGAAAGCTAGGGTCGAAAGGAGCGTTAGCCCTAGATGGCTCTTGATACCACGTTGAGACAGAAATCGTTGTATATTTCCATTAAGCTCAGTTGGGTATTTATATACCCAAGAGTACATTCTAGAAGATTTACTAGCAAGAAAAGAAATACATAAAAGAGAAAACTTTCTAACTTCTAAAGATAAGATTCCAAATCTTCCAAAACTGATAGCTCTATTTTTAGTAAATATATATTTGGTTGATAAGGAAGAAGGGAAAAAAAAGAAGTTATTACATTTTTTAAAAGAAATTACAAAAATTTACCGGGTCAGTATGGTCGTGCCACATAGCCACATAGGACGGTTGACGTGCACGTCAGAAATTTCAAACCAAATAAGATTTTCCTTACAAAATGATGGAAAATATTTTCCAGTTCAGTTTTAGGTATCTACCAAAAATCAAAAGATATTATTATTTTCCTGAAAACGACTTTCCGGAAAACATTTTCTAGAAATATTACATTTTTCACGAAACAAACGTAACCTTTTGATTAAAGTCTTAATGCCTTACACGTTATTAGCATTTGTCCAACGTTCATGAGCTTGACAAAAGTTATCCTCATGTCCTTCGCACCAAGTCCACAAAATCTGCTTTCGATTCAATCAATCTCCCACCGTGTCTAACATTGTGCCTATACGAGCTCAATCGATATTTTATATAGTCCCGTGTTGATTTTAATCATTGATTTAAAGATTAACAAAACATGAAAAACCTTCCAAAAGATTTTTGAGCTCGCTCTCCACCCATTCAGCACAGTACGGCAACAAACCAAGGCTCACGACAGTGTGGCCAAGAGAGCTCCATCTGAGGCCCCGGCTTACGGTCACCAATGTTATGTGAGGTCGACCTCGAGCTACGAGAACCACAATAGGCAGACTAGTGAGACACACAAGCCCTATAGCCAAGCTCAGCCATGGCCACCAGATCAACCTTGATCTAGCCTTAAGCTGGCGCCGCAACCTTTGTCGTCCTCATATTTGGGGTCCACCAGCCACGGCGGTGTGTCCAGTGGAGAGGGAAGACACAGCAGTGGGTCTATCGGACTGAGCTAAGCTCACCGGAGCGGAGGCGATTGAGTGGATGGGTGTTAGATTTTTTTAGGGTAGAGTTAGCCTACGACACAAGATATTAATTTGATGATTTATATATATATTAACTTGAAGCCGAAGACCATTTTTAATATTTTTTTTTCCTTGATTTATTTTCCCACTTATTGATGACACGTCTCCGGAATCTTCGAATCTCCCACCTAAAGATGCCGTCATCGTCATTTTTTATAGCTGCCCTTGTCCACTGTGCCGATCGGGGGACCAGCAACCCAAAGCCTCCTCACATCATTCGTCAATGGAAAAATATCTTAAGATGCCTTCGGCCAAGGGAAAATTCTTCACGTATCCCCTGTTCATTTTCAATAAAAAGAAAAAGAAAAGGAGAAATGTTAAAAAATGCATTGACCAGAATAATTTCCGGAAATCGGAAAATTCATGGGGACTCAGCAAATGATTATTACTCGTTCTCAAGATCTTCGACCTGAAACAAGAAGAAAACTGAAATCTGTCAATACTTTTCACGCTAACCATATAGCTAGGGCATGAAACACGAGGACGTGAATTTTTCTCGTTGAAAAGGATGTGTAACCAAAAGCACTTCCAGAAAAGAAAACTGAGTTTGATGGAAAGAAGTTTTGAGAGCCAAAAAGGACGATATGCCCGATGCGTTACCTGCAATGAACAAACGTAGATCACAACGACAAACATCATGTCGGGACTATCACATTTTATGCAAGCAGCACATAGAGTAAGCCAACCTGAAGTTAATGCGTCAAGAAAAATGCAAAGGGTCACAGCATCATATGCTTCGGGAAGAAAATGACGAGCACCGGACATTGCCACAATCTGGAAAATAGTTTGGTAAACATGTCGACTAATAGGGGCTCAACAGTTTTCCGGAAAATCAAGTGATCTGCATGTATGTATGTGCATATGTACGCATGTGCGTAGAAATACTTGTGTAAACATATATGTACATGTACTTCTATGGATGCATTACGGTTGTATGCCTGCATATTTTGGGTCCGAATGACCACCAAATCTGAGGTTATGAGGGAGAAACCCACACGGCAAAAAGAGAATTTCGGAAACAGTTGCACCAAGATACGTTGTGGTTTCACTACAGGGCAAAAATAAAAGGAATCCAGACTCCAAATCCTAATCTCAATGGCTAAGAAAAGTTGGTCGAATTGGTCCTTGAGAAAAAGATTCTCCGTCTCTCTCGCCCTCCTTTTCTTAACAAAAACAGAAAAGTATTTATAAACACAGTCGATCACCATCGAAACTTTCTCGAGCACAAAGACTTGCACTTACCAGAGAAGGTGATTCGACACTCTGAAAGGCCGGGAGTGGGAGGGGAAAGAACAACACCGATAGCATTTTGTTGGCATTGCTTGTTTTCCTTTCCTTTCTCTCTCGTAAAGAAGAACATACCTCGACCGGCTTCAGTACAATAAGCAAAAAGAAGTCGTGCACGGCTTAAGGCCGTGACAAGTCTAAGTAAATAAACCATCTCCCCTCGTTTAATTGTTCTTTGCTAGCTGCCAAACTCAAGCTAAAAACGGTCAAAACATTAGTAAGCAGATAAAACAAAATACGACCAATTGGAAATTATCCATAAGCTGACTCGTCAATTAAACAGGTGTTTTTCGACCAAAAAAAATTTAGACAGGTGTCAACAAACAGAAAATTCTAACAATATAGACAAACCTATGTGTATCCAAGGGAGATGTCCGTTAAATCCAGTAATCCTAGTTTCTATCAATGTTTAAACGATTGTAAGGAAGAACTACAGTTATTCCGAAGTCTTGACACAAAAAAAGGAATCCAGATACATCTAGCATGATTATGTACACATCTACCGTTTACCTCACCAACCAGGTATATTAGTTCTTCTACCGGACTTTATTGCGCTTGTAATGAAGTGGTCCGCCACCACCATCCTCATCAGACACCCGGACCATCTTCCATCTGTCCTGAATGCGGTCATCATTCACAGACCTCCCATCATGCCTGTAGCACTGTACATGTTTGGAGACTCTTGGCCTACAACTGGACTTCTTGTCTCTCATCCTATTTTCCTTGTCACTGGGAGACTTATGTGCATGATTAAGTTCCGAAGAACAAGGTTTTCTGTCATGCCTCTTGACATAAGTTTCATCTCTTTTTCTCCTGACATCTATTCTTTTTTCAGCCTGATAGTGACTCCAACTTGAATCACTCGAAAACCGTGCCATGTTGTCTTTATGCATTTCAGACTCTTTATTTCGGTAATAGTGCCTCTCTTTGGCTCGCCTACTAGAGCAACTTATAATATCTTTTGCTTCTGGAGAAGATATTCCTTCACAATGATACAATCTTCCATCTCTGGCTCTAGTTGATGAGTGAGGAGTCATCTGACGCCTTTCATCAGTCCTGCGGATGTCTGAGTCTAGATTATGTCCATGCCGATGCTCTCTTTGTGGCTTTTGGGAAAAGCTGTCATCAGAATAGATGAAACTATCTTCCTTCTGACGTCTTTCCACATCGACAAGACGACATCTCCTAATAAAACCATCATCAACTCCAAAATCAGTAGATGTATCCCTGAAGAACCGACAAATTACCCTTGTCAGCAGTCAAGATAAAGAAAGGATTATTGCAATTTAGAAAGTGATCTTGCAGAAGTAGAGAAATTATACTAATACACCTTTTACATGAGGTGCGTTATAGTTGGAAGAAGAATTTCCAAAACACTAATTTTCCACTTCAAAGGTAAAGGGTTAAAAGCACTAGAATTCATCTGACAAATACTGAAGGTGCTCCTTGGATGACTTTAGCAATCCTAAAATCAACATTTTGAGATACATTAACAAATCATACGACTCCGATGACTTTAGCAATCTTAAAATCAACTATTGAGATACATTAACAAATCATACGACTCCTAAATAAACCATAGATGAGCATATTTTCAATTAAATCATAAGAAAAATTAGCTAAATGAATTACTTGCTCCCTGTAATGACTACGGTGCAGATGGAACAAGATTTCCAAAAGCATAGAACATGATGTGCAGCTTTCTTGCTTGTTCAAGCAAATGGCCTACATTTTCCAATTTTCGTAATGGAACATCCAATACTTCCTCTTTAAGTGAGAAATCAGCTATACAACTTATGAAATACTCAATTATCTAGCTAGTGGCACAGCAAGGAATCACAGACTGCTAATGGGGAACAAAAATTACCTCGTCATATACTTCTTGGCCGGTGCCCATTGCTTTTCACAATTGTGAAGATCATTTAGCTCTTGAAAGCTATGGTCAGGGCGTGTACCAACTCCCACCACAGGTGCCATGCTTCCCGACCTCGTAAAGCCCCTGCAACATGTGCATCAAACTATGATGACATCCTGCTCAGCTAAATTTAAATCTAAAAGAAGTGCCTTCAGGAACTTTTAACACTAAAGAAGCAGAAATTGAAACGGACTTACCCATAGGCAGGCAATCCACCATAAATCGTAGACATATACATTGGAACAGATGAAGGTGCAGCAGGAATAACAGCTGTATTGAGGGGCATCATCCCAAAATTAACAAATTGATCCACATAAGGGTTAACATGGAGCAGGGGAGTAGCATTCCCCCCAAGTGGAGAGACACTATCTGGGAAGAAAGCATTTCCTGGAACCCAAAGACAATCATCAGACACAAGCCTTGGATATGGCTGCACACATGGTTATACTCCGGGACACCAGATATTACCTCTCTGAGGCATAGGACATGGTGTGGAAGCATGTGGACAATTTCTTATCAAATGATCCAAAGAGCCGCACATATAACAGGCTCGGCACCCCTGCATCCGCAAAAGGTGGCATAGGATCAACAACGGGGAAAAAATGTCTGAATCAAATTCAAAGGCAGTAACAAAGTACAGGTGGAGGGAACAGGATAAGCCAACAATTTCAAGTGACAACAAAATGACTTCTCTAATCACAATAACACCATTGAACATCTAGCATCAAATTGTACAAAGAAAAGCAGGTCTATCAAGTCCAGTTCCAGTCTACTAAAAAATTCAGAGCAAACATCAAAAAACGAAATGGATTCAACGAACTTAATCCTGGTAAAAGGGCAGCAAACCACCAGTACGTTCTTAATGAGTCAGATAAGAAACTTTAGTCACTCATATCAATCGCACAAACTCAATTGCAGATTCATGTCAATAAGCACCAACAAGCCAGATACCACATTATCATTCGACCTTATTTGGTGAAATATATCATCAACTCCATGAATAGACCCATGATAAGCATTCCCAAGATGCATTACCTTTCTATCTCTTCCAGTCTCCAATAAATTCACATCCCCACCTGAAATTTCACAACTATTAGATTGAAGACAGAACAATGTCACTCTATCTTCAAATATACAAATATGTGTCGAACCTGTGGAGTTGATCAATCCATTCCTCATCTTTACAAAAGAATCAGCTGGAATGACAGAAAGAAGACAGACAAGGAAAAACAATAGAGTCAAAAGGAAAAAGAGGCGAACAGCAAGACAGTAGTTCGCTAACAAAAATACCAGGCTTCAGGAAAATATGGAGTCTTCTATTCTGTAAGTATGTCTAGAAAACATATACTGGCACAAAAAAGAATCTACTCCACTTGAAAAATTGCATCTCGGCAAGAGAAATTTGTGCCAAGAAGGCAAACCGGTGAAGCCTCTCGGCTGAGTGTGAGCAACAGAAAGCAACATCATAAAGGTTAAAATAGAGATAAGATCCCCAATTTGACTTATTAGAAAACAAAACAGCGTTGTAAAGCTAGTTAGGCCAACACAGTTGCAGACTCAACAAGAGAGGACAACTGAAAGAAGAGCAACGAAAAATGAGTGAATGATGGGACTACCTAAAACGGGGGTATCCAAATGCCTAGTCATATAAGATGTACCTTGCTCTGGCATGGACTGGCTTTTCACTTTAGAATCAGGAAACAGTGCCAAATTTCCACATTGGAGATCTACAGGACAACTAGAGTCTACTTCTTCTTCATACAGCTGTTTTGCCCTCTCAGTTGCATCTTTGTCCCTGGACTTCCAATCTAGGGCATATTCTGATATGATATGGCCAGGTCCTTTCCCAGTTACTTTGGAAGGTTGACAACAGTCGGAGCGCCTCTTAACAATGGTCAAATCACCAAATGCTTCATTTCCTTGAATGCCAGATTCCCCATCTGATGTTCATAAAAAAGCATGAAGCATGAATAAAGAAAACAACAAAATCCCCTCTTAATAACAACCGAAGAAAGTATCCTTACCCGGTGCATAACGATGGACATCCTCCCCACCATCAGCAAAAACCTGGGACCTAAGAAAACTCTCAACAGCATGCCTGAGAGATACATTAGGTAGCAAATCTTCAGCTCTGCATTTTGCAGAACAATTTGGACAGAGTGACTTCTCATTTAGCACTGGACGTATACCTACGCACCCAATAAACAAACCGATACCGATGTTGTCAGAGTAACAGTACAAAAAAATTAAAAGGTCCTTCCAAATCATTGGTCGTGAAAAGCAAGACAAAAAACACAGATGTGCTTTTCTTTATCATTTAGCCCCACAGGAAACCAGTAAAATAAACATTTGAGGAGATAAACAGAGATCTACTTGATCCACAAATGACAAATCAAAGAACAGAACAATGCTAGCTTTACTGCAGGTCCATAAGGGTGCATTTCACATCTTTTTAGTGGTGTGCAACTTGATAAGAAACTCCATGTGATGGCAGCTGAGTATGAATATCATGGATTTAAGCACATGCAAAGTATAGAAAGTTTAAACTCGATTCCTTAAGACAGCTAGGAGATCAGTACATTTTACATAATTTGGCTAGCCGGAGAACCTAATCTTCTTATATCAAATCTTATCTCCTCAGTAGTGAAGATCATACAAAACATGCTTCAGCCCAACATAATAAGATCCTTTCTGGCAACTACCAAGACTCTCCAATCCTGATAGCTCATCTGAGTAGATGTTTGCCAATCTTCTGAGAATTTTAAATAACGGGCTACTGCTAAAAAAACTACATAGAAAACACATGAATAAAACTTACATCGCTCGCAATAACTATTCTGGCAACAAGGTATCATCACTGCTTCGTCATAAGGTGAATTGCAGAGAGAGCATTTGAGCTCTGACGGCAGGTCAGCATTTTGAGTGGCTACAAAAGAGGCATTGGTGGCCCTGTAATTTCCGAGAAAGCATAAGAGTCAGACTCCTGGGACAAATGACAACACACACTAAAACAAAGTAACTTATGAGAGCACTTTACTTTTGCAATTTTAAAAGTTCTTCAGTTTTATTTTTTCCTTCAACCAGCAACTTGTCCCTTCCAATCCACTTTGCCAAGGCACCTGGAAGAAAGTTCACATGAGGTGGAATATATGGCAGGAGAGTCGAGAGAAGCACACAATATATAGAATACAAGTTACCTCTTGAAACAGCCTCACTGCGATTGTAATCATCCAATCTCCGACCTAATACTGTTGTTAGCTTATTACATCTGAGAACACAACAAAAGTGCAATGAAGAAAAGTAAACACAATTAGCACCAAAGCCCGGTAAGTGGAAAATAGTGAATCTAATAAGCAGGTTCAGATCAAAACCACCTTACAGCACCAATTATGGGGCTTTCATCGCTAAAACTGCACTTTTTCTCGACATTGAAGCTGGAGTCATCGACCATTCTCTCGAGAACAGGACACGCATCATCCCCGAAGTCAGCAAAGTCGAAAATGTCCTCTTCCTATGCGAGAAAACAGCAATTGAACTTATATTGGAATTGAACAAACCATGATCATATATAAGATTTTTATAGATAAGAAAAATCGGAGAATGAAAAGGCAATTAGACTCAAAAGATTTGTACTAGCGACTAAGAAAAGAATAATTGCTATGCAAGATAATAAACCAAGGATACCCATCATAATTAACAGGTTTGGGCAAAGTTTAAAAGGTGATTTACATGAGTGGCAAATTGGGTTAGAGCATGCATATGGGTCAATCGAAATGTCTGAGAGCAATCTCGCTTATTTCTCAGCGAATGGCCTCCCAAGGTTTGGTCAAAATTAACATAAAGTAAAACGTTATCAAAGCGGATAGTTATGACATACCACTGAAAGAGAAGTTTTCTTCAAAGTCCTGTCCTTATCATCCGGTGAAGAGATAACACCGGGATTAATATCCTTGATCCCAAAATTCTCGATAACATCATTGCTATGGCTACAAATACGTAGATTGACAATAAGAAGGAATTATGTGCGAAAAGTAAATTATCAAGCCAAAAAAAGACATGCATACAAAATATCCTTAATTGCCCTCGGTCCTACCATATAAATTTGGATCCGAAAAATTATGAGGTGATAGCGAAAGTGCCAACAGTTTGGTTAAAATATAGATGTGAATCACTGAGCTGACAGAGACTGGCTAATTAGGGAACTACAGAGAGTTAATTTCGCAACTCCTAATCTTACATGGCAAGAGGCGACACGGATACGGCGGGTACTCTCTTAATAATCACACTCGAACCACTTGGAATTTGAACATTGTCGTCCTTGTACTCTGCAAATATAGATTAGGTCAATATGGAATAAATTTCGCTAAACCTGCACTTACGCAAAACAATAAAACTTCACGTGCACCAGACTTGGGAACCACGACATTTCGAGCAGGGCATGCGAAATTTTGCTAGTTTTCATGGAAATAACCAGGTACACTCTGGCAACCATAATATATGAAAACCAAAGCCAAAAGAGCTGATCGCCATCACCGGTTAAGATGATCGCCTCTCTCTGCGTAGCCGACAGTAATTCCTCGCACCGCATACAAGATAACAGCGCATCCTATTTCATCATAGACTAATACCGATTAATCAACGCGCAGGCCACAGTTACGACGACTCGCCCCAGCCTAATTCACGATACAACCACAACTCCTCGTCATTCTCGTCTCATTCATACGTAATCCCCCCCCCCCCCCACAAATCCACGCCGTCCCTGCCACCGACTCTAACCTCACCTCCGGGCGCGGGCGCCGTCCCGTTGGAAAAACGCTCACGCTAAACCGGATCACGCGATTCTACGAGAGAGAGAGAAACCACAAAAGACAAGAACCGGCGGAAAAGAGGCCCCGTACCTACGCCGGTGGCGGCGTCGGAGACGCGGAGGTCGGAGCCGTAGCAGGCATGCAGGTTCTTCAGGCGTCGGATCTCGGATTTGAGGTCGCCGACCGAGATGGAAGGCCGGCCGTCGCCGAGGTCGAGCGAGTCGAAGTGCGCCGCGCTCCTGAACTTGAACGCGATCGCCATCGCCGGAGCGAGCGGCGAGGAGAGAAGGGCCTGCTCAGGAGCTGCCCGCGATCATGGAGGAGGATCTTCGCCGCCGCGATCGAAGGAGGGGGCGACGACGCGAAGGTTTCAGAGAGGTTCTAGCACGTATAGACCAGAGAGAGAGAGCGAGATCGAGGCAGAGGAACCCGGAGGAAGAAGCCGAAGCGAGAAGGCGAATGGGAAACTTGGTTTCGGGGGGTATTTATACTTCGCTTACTTTTTTCATTTTTTATTTTTTTTTGTGTTTTTTTTTTTTTGCGGCAGCTTTTTGGATGGATTCGGACTTGGGCCCATCCACGTAAACCGGCGAAATTCGGTTTTTCAAATTTTTTTTTTTGTGAAATAAAATCATTTTTTAGTAGATGCTGACATCTGAAAAAAATGTGTAATTGGGCATGCGCGAGCATGAAAAAATTTTCGCATGTTATAAACTTATAAGGTTTACTAAAGATGTCCTTAAGTAGTAGGTCGGCGGTAGGGTGTCCGAGTTATGGGTCGTTTTTCATAACGAGTGAAGCCAAGAATTGCAGTTGACCGTTGCATTTCGGTTTTGTGTCTGAGCGGTATGCGATTTTTCAGTCGATTTGATCCTTTGAATGGATAATAAAGAGTCTGATCTGTGATAATGTATTTTCAATGAAATGATAAAAGGGCATGGAAATCGAGAGTATCTTTTGCGATGATCGGGATAGACGCTAAATTCGAACATTTGCTCTAATTATTAGTACGAAAGCATGGATATCGGATATAAATGGACGGAAAATGTGGAAGTACATATAGACAGACTGGATGTCCAATTTAAATTGAAGGAAAAATGAGGGATTTCGGTTCCTTGGAAAAATACATGCGAAAACGATATTTAGTAATTGTGTTGACATTTATTATACTAGACATTTTTTTGCCAAAAACAACACCGTAAAACTTCATTACCGTATTGTCGTGATAATGGACTTGGATTCGGAGTTGGGATTTCATTCAAAGCTCTCAAAATTGATTCGATATATCACTGTCGAGTATTTTTCATTTACGAAATTTGGCATGATAAGAAAAGCATGTCAACAAATATCGTTTATCGTTCTTTTTATTTGTTTTTCTCGAGTGAATGCGGATATTTGCTAAGGGCATGAGTAATGAAAAGTGTGCTCAATGATATCACATGTAATTTTTCCAAAACTAACAAAATATATTTCGTCCTCAATAAAGTTTTTTTGTTTTTGTTTTTTTTTTTTGTTTTTTGGGTCGAATCCTCAATAAAGTTAGCAGAAGCAAGGAGAGATACTTTTCCCCGAACAGGCAGGCTTGCCTTGAGGGGTATACTCGTAAATTCGCACGATCATTCGTATTGGGCCGGGCTTGATGGGCTTAGGCCCAACACCCGACGTATCAGTCCCCTCGATCGATCGAGATCGATCGAGAATCAAGATTAGGGTTTTTGCCGGAGGAAGAAGAAGGAGAAGGACCAGCGGTAGTGACTGCTGTAGCTGCTGAATCGCCGAGGAAGAGAGCTCGAGCGTGCTCGATCCCTTGCAGGAAGAAGCATGGCGACTCAAATCAGCAAGAAAAGAAAGGTTCTTCCTCCCGTTCGCTCTCTCGCGTTCCTCGTTCGTGGAAATGAAAGCATCGAGCTTTCTTGATTCGTTAGCCGCACGGTTGCGCGCCATGATTCTTTCGGGAAGTTCACCTGAAAACGCGTGGATTGAGTGTTGCTTTTCAGCTCATGTGAATTGATTATCATGGGGGAGTTGCTGGTTGTGGTTTCTGGTGCTGTCATGCGTTAGCTTTTGAAAGACTTCCAGAATTGGGAACAAAAGCTCCAGTTTCAATTTTGTTTGGTTTTCCCAGTAAATTAACAGATGGGTGTGTTCTGTGTGAGCTATGGAAGCTGGGGTTAGCTCATCGTAGCATCGGTGATAGGCATGGTTTGAAAACAGTCGTTGATGTCGTCTATTGTGTTGGCTGAAATGGGATTGGAAGTTTGCAATACTACTCATTGACGAAAATGTTTCCGCTTCTTTCAGTGACATGACAATTTTTGTTCTCGGGTGAATTGAACAGGGGTCTGTATGTCTTTTGATAGGAGGCTATTGTCGCCAATTCCGTCGTGTTTCTGATGAACTGTCCGTTACATTGTGTTCCACCAGTTTGTGGCAGATGGAGTCTTCTTCGCAGAACTTAATGAGGTTCTCACCAGGGAGCTTGCTGAAGATGGATACTCTGGGGTCGAAGTAAGGGTCACCCCCATGCGGACTGAGATCATCATTAGAGCCACTCGCACGCAAAATGTGCTCGGTAAAAGTTCTGCTCGAATGATTGTATCCTCAGTGCGTTCGCTTTTTCGTTGGAAAAGAAGTTAATGGGATAGACACAAGGAGATTCACAACTGGTATTTTCAGCCTTTTGATTATATTAACTTTGAGAGTTAGAAGGTTGCCAACAGTTCCATTTACAAATACAATTGTGACAGTACTCCAATTAAGGATTTTGAAATGCTTGTTCAAAAGAAAATAGTGGGACTTTTCCTAGGTCCGAATTGGAGTATCTTCAGCTGCTTCTCTTCCTGGGTGGAGTTCAACTGAATAATCTCTGGCCTGCTTATCATCTTCTTCCTGAGCATGACCTTGTCTTGCCTCTCTTCTGTTTCTACCTTTGCATTACTTCCGATGCCTCCTTCCATTTACTTACAAGCTATTACTTTTAGAATAAACGAAAAATAGATGACGGCAATATGACCCCATTGTGAATCTTTTATATTAATACTGACAGAGTACCAAACAAATTCAAGGTTGAGCACTTTGTTTGGATCGGTGTTAGTAAAATGTTGCGTAATTCTTGTTCTAACAGGAGAAAAGGGGAGAAGGATTCGGGAACTGACTTCTGTTGTCCAGAAACGTTTCAAGTTCCCTGAAAATGGTGTGGAGTTATATGCCGAGAAAGTTAACAACAGGGGCCTCTGTGCCATTGCTCAGGCGGAGTCTCTGCGGTACAAGCTCCTGGGAGGCCTGGCTGTTCGGAGGTACATGGCGCAGCTCTAAATGGCACCCCACTTATATGATTGCCAAAAAAAAAATCATCACCTTCTTTTTCTTTGTGCTGACTACACTTCCATTTGCCCTTAGTTTTTTGAAGTAAATATTTTGCTTAGTTTTAGTCATTGTTCATTGTGTTGTTTGGTCTTATCTATTGTAGTGCATTTCATTCACTGCTGCTGAATCTTTGTCTTCATAATGAATTTTGAGCGAACTATCCGGGGACCTTCCCGTTTTCTTTTTCTAAACCATCTCTAGAGTGAGTTAGTTGCTTTCTAAGTACCTTTCTCATGTCTGAGGACTGTCAAATTTTATGGTTTCCTTTTATTTTGTGGGAATTTTGCTTTCATCACGTGCAAAAGTTATTTATGAGAAAAGCATGTGGATGTTGGCCTCACTGCTGGCACTGCTTATTTGAGCATCAGTAATACAATATCGTCATCATGAAACAACTGTTGTGTGATTTAAGGTATGTACCTGAGTTAATGATATGTGAGCCTAGTCGCTCCTGCTTCTATCTTCTTGTGTTTTCTCAGAACTTTAGTGTTTCATATGGATCATATTTCTTGATTAAGTTAGCCCCTCTAGGTCCGAAGGGGACAAATCTGAATGGCTGAAAGTAGAGGGTTCTTTTCTTCAGCCATCTTGTGGAGTCATTTAGATTTACCATTGCCTGAGTTTATTTTTCCATTTGATCGGAGGAACATGCATAGATCGGTGTGCAACTTATTTTGTACCTGCAAAAAAAATTTCTGATGCATATACTTTTGCATCTGTTAGTCGCCCAACAGGTGTTATTCTATGCATAGATCGTTCGTTGTCCGGTTCTCGGGGGCTTATTCTCCCTGCTTTTGAATGACATGGGCTTGCCTCTCTCTCGATGTGATGATGTTATTTTCTCATTGAGTGCTTGTAGTGGGAGTCTTCTACGTCTAAAGGTTTTAAAGCTTGGAGACCATCTCCAGGTTTTGTTCACATTGTTGCAATGCGGCAATCTTACTTGTAAATCGTTGGCGACACCCATTATACACCCATTATACACCCATTATACACCCATTATACTTGGCCATTTTTCTACTTCGTCATTCTCTGAGAATCATTTGGGAAGATTCGTGGATGCTTGACCATTGAGTGAGGTTTAAATTTGTTGATTATTATGTAGGGCTTGCTATGGAGTTCTGCGATTTGTGATGGAGAGTGGTGCCAAGGGATGTGAGGTATGTTTTTTGATGGAAATGATCGCGTTATCTACTGTTTTGCCTTCCTCTCCATTTTTCTTGGTACTAAAGCTTCAGGAAGTTCTGAGATTTGGGTGCTCGTGCAGGTCATTGTGAGTGGGAAGCTACGTGCTCAACGTGCTAAATCGATGAAGTTCAAGGATGGGTACATGATATCCTCTGGTCAACCTGTCAACGAGTATATCGACTCTGCTGTCAGGCATGTTCTTCTAAGACAGGTGAGACGTCCTTCTTCAAATCCGCACCGCACCCTTCCTTACTTTTTTTTCTTAAGAATCATGTGCGAGTTGGTAATTGCTCCATCTTGCCAAGCCAACAACTGGTGAAATCTTAATTCCTTTCTCTATTGAATCGATCAGGGTGTGCTTGGCATCAAGGTCAAGATCATGCTTGACTGGGATCCCAAGGGCAAGCAAGGACCAACGACTCCATTGCCTGATCTGGTGACTATTCATCCCCCGAAGGAAGAGGAGGAATATATTCCACCGGTGCTGACCACCAACATCGAGATTCCAGTAGCTTAATTGGCAGTTCCGATCATGTCATTACCTTAGGATTATGTTTTGTTCTTTCAGTACTGTATGCCTCAATGTAACTTTCTCATGGCTCGCGCTACTGCTTAGTTCTCCTAGAGATTATGCTACGAATTTTGGTGGAGTTTTCTGCTTTACATAATTTGGCCGGAAGATGTTGTCAGTAATCCAAAATAATGAAGAGTCACCTAGTAAGTAGTACTTGCCCTTGTTGATTACAAGATTTCAAAACCATCGTTTGCTTATAATTACACTGTCGAGGTTTGCAGTATCAAATCTTGGATTCCTAAAAGAGAAGAAGATTGTTCAAAACCTTAGAACTTCAAAATTACACCGAGAAAAAGACATGATTCTGTTCTGT